AAGGGGGGCTTTGCACTGATGGAAATGTTCTGTATCTTGGCTGTGTCCACGTCAACATCCTGGATGTGATATCATCCTATAGTTTTGTAAGATGTTACCATCGGTGGAAGCTGGGTGAAGGGTCCTCAGAATCTTGCTGTATTATTCCTTACAACTGCATGTGAATGTAAATTTTTTTTCTAAATAAAAGGTTAATTTAATAAAATATGGTATAGCTAAAAAAAAAAATAGCTCAAATGGTAAATTTTATGTTACAAATATTTTACCACGATAAAGAAAGAGGTTTTTGTCAGGAAGGATATGAAATATGTAACTGTCATTCCTTGCTTACGGGTGTGTAAATTGGTCCAAATATTTTTGAAAACTCTTGTTAGTATCTATTGCAGCTGAACATATGCCTACCCTTATCACTCAGGAATTTAATTCCTAGATGCATGTGTCCAATAGAAATTAGTACATATCTCAGATATATGCACAAGAATGTTCAGCTATATTATTTTTACCAAAACATGGAAACAACCCAAATGTCCATCAATAGTACAATGAATAAATAAATTAAGATATATTGATCAGGGCTGGCTACATAATTTACAGGGCCTAGCGCAAAATATTTAAAAATTCAGGTGATTTGTTAAGAAATTATTAAGAATTTCAAGATGGCAACAGCAGAGCATTACACCAAGCAAAAGGCTATGTGACATTGCACAGGTGACATCCCAGGAAGCCTGCCTGATATTAATACAATGCACTACTACATGGCAATAAAAATAGGTACAACCTATTGCTACATACAAGCGGATGAATTTCGTGATATATTGTGAGTAAAAGAAGTCAGACACAAAAGAGAATATACTATGCAATTTCATTTCTATGAAGATTAAGAACAGGGAAAATAGTATACAATGGTAGAATTTAGATTAGCGGTTACTCCAGAGGGATGTATTGAATGGGAAGGGGCATGAGAGAACCTTCTAGAGTGGTGAAAATGTTCTATATCTTGACCTGGATTATGGTTACACAGATACATACATGTATAAAAACATAAATGACAATACTTGTCTGATTGAATGTGAAAGCACTCGTGGTGTCTGCTGTTCCTACCCTCCAATCCCTGTCATCCGGGCACAGATCTCAATCTTGTGCTCTGGCTCCTGTTTGGATGTGTGGTGTTGCATGGACATGTGGCTCAGAGAGCAGTGGAGGAAGACCCTCCATGCTGACATGCTCTCTGATTCACGCCACCCACATCCCCATTGTCCACTATCAACACCTGCCGTCCTGAGATACTCCTCAGAGCCAGGGACACCAGCCATGCCAGTTCACACCCAACATACTCAGAAGTCTATTAGGATACTTAGGTTATGGGCAGAAGTGCCTCACATGACCTATAGAAAACCCTACATTGTAGCACACCACGGCTGTACTTTGCCTTTATTTTCATGAGACATTATTTCAGAGACCCTCCTCTTTCATTGCAATGCAATCAGTAGATTTAACATATGAAAAAAAATACACATTTAGAAAGAAAACAATTTTCATATTAAAAACAAAATAAAAATAGAACATTAGAAGGAAATTTAGTAATAGAGGTCATTCAGTTAGCATATACTCTTGATGGTGACAATGGGCTGAAGCAGCCCTTGACATAGAGTGGACCATAGGGTTTGAATTCTTAGATTTCCTTTTTGAAGCCACGAATGGTGTCATCCACCCAGGGGCAAAGGGACACTAGCCAAAGAATCGTCTGCCTTCCCACTCAGTTTGAGAATCCCTGGCATTTTAAGGAGATGCCAGTTTTCCTTTTATGAGAAAAATACTTCTCTGCTATGCATCAATCTCTCTGATAAATCATGGCTATTGTTTCTATTATAATTATCTTTATAAAAATTCAGTCTTGGGACTTCCTTGGCGGTCCAGTGGTTAAGACTCTGTGCTTCCACTGCAGGGGGCGTGGATTCGATCCCTGGTCAGGGGAACTTAGATCCTGCATGCCGTGAAGTGCAGCCAAAAAAAAATACAAAATAAAAAAAAATTCCATCTTTAATATCCTGGGATATTTTAACACTGTGTGTAAATTTAATATGGAAAGCACAAACCCATTATTACCTGTTTTCTTGGAGCATAAGAGAATAAATGGATAAGAAAACAGAGAATGGATAGGAAAAAATGGTAGGATTGTTTTCCTTTGACAGCATGGGCACAGGCAGGGTCCTGCCCAGCACAGAGGCCCAGTACGGAACTGTGTGTGTGTTGGGAATTACCATCCTCAAGGGAGAAACCCTCAGCCAATAGAGTATGGGAGCTGGTGGATGAATGCTTCTTCCCATCTTTCCTCAATAGATGATTCAAAGAAATACTCTATTCATTCCTCAGAAAGTCCCCAGAGGGATCAAGCCCCAGTTGCCCATAGAAGTGACCTTGATAACACACCTTGCTTTGGCTTTACTTCCTCCCCTGTTTCGCTTTCCTCAGTCTCTCACTGCTGATCCATTTGATCATCTCCCTAATAACTTACCCGCTTTGTTTTTGGGGAGAGGGTGGATCACCCTGGGCTAAGATGCAGGAACCCAGTTTCCTTCTAGCAAGGGCCTCAACTGTCCCCTAGAGCTTCAAAGCCCTCCTCTGGATTTTCTGCATCTAACTGGCCAATGAACAGAGAAAGTGTGGGCATATGAAAAAAGAAGAAAACTCACAAGGATAGGGGCTAAGCCAAAGTTATATATATATATTATACCCTTAACTAGTCTCTCAGCCTCTTGAGACCCTGAAATTTCTTCCTCATTACTTCTCTTTAAAGAACCAAAATTAGATCCAGCCTGGAGAAGAACCTTACTCCTGATTCTGGCAAGAACCAATTACAGGTTTGCCCCAGAGACGTGCACTGGGATGAACTGTCAAGGGTTAGGAGCAGAACAGCCCAGGTAACACAATCCTTCATCTTGAGGGTCTTTGGAAGGTTTGGCTGGTTCTTTTTAGTCCCTGGTTATAGGTACAAGATGGCAGACATCACTGTGAATATGTCTTTTCTCAATAAAAGGTAACCATTAATTATTGCATGCCTTCTGTGTGACAGGTGTTTACATTACCTCCCTTAATCTTCAAATGAGCCACAAAGCAAGTTTCATTAACCCCATTTTGAGCTGAGGAACCTGAGTCATTAAGTGATTGGAGCTGTAGTTTGCTGGCTGCTGCTGTATACTCATACCTTCTTCTCTGAATACTTCTTTCATGTTCTGGCTCTCTTCTGAGCAGCCATCTCTCACATCCCATATATTCAAGGGTCTGGAGTGAGATTGCCAGATAAAATACAGAACGCCAATTAGGTTTTAATTTTAGATAAACAATGAATTGTTTTTTGTATAAGTATGCCCATGCAATATTACTGCAAATATTGCATGGTCATAGTTATACTAAAAAGTTATCTGGAATTCAAATTTAACTGGGCCTCCTGTATTTTTATTTGTGAAATCTGGCAAGTCAAGGTGAGCTAAGTGTCTTTCTTATGCATTGTTGTCCCCTCCACACCATTTCTGCTTCCTTAGAACTCACAACTTTGAAACACAGGTCTTCAGACTCCACTTTCTACATGAACCCCTCCTTGTTGAAGTTGTCTGCCATGCTTGTTGTCACTCACGTCAATTCATTGATTGTCTTAGCACCTGATTCACTTTCTTTCTCACGGTAATAATTTCATTATTTTTTTATGATTCCAGTATCCACATATATGACACTTCAATACCCTTGCTTTTGATTTCTTTTACCTTCTAATTTCAACATCTCAATTCAACAGGGTAGGAGCATAGGGATTGTGGAGAGTTTTGCAGTATTAAATAGGATGGTCAGGGAGGCCTCACTGAGGAGGTGACTCCGAGCAAACGGGCTGAAGAGGGACCCAGCTCCGTTGACACTTGGACAGAAGTGGTTCAGGAAGAGGAAATCATAAGCACAAAGGCCTTGAGGTAGAAGTCTCCCAGGGTGTTTCAAAAGTTATTTGAGAACAGAGATTGTGTCTTATACTTGGTGGTGTTTTTTTTTCTTTTTTCTTTTTTTTTACACGGGCCTCTCACCCTTGTGGCCTCTCCCATTGCGGAGCACAGGCACCGGACGCGCGGCTCAGCGGCCATGGCTCATGGGCTTAGCCGCTCCGTGGCATGTGGGATCTTCCCGGACTGGGGCACGAACCCGTGTCCCCTGCCTCGGCAGGCAGACTCTCAACCACTGCGCCACCAGGGAAGCCCGGTGGTGTTATTAATTGTGCCCAATAGTTTCTTGCCCACAGGAATAATTCAGTAAATATGATGATTCAAAGAATTCAATAAATTCTTGTGTCATAAGTGAATGAGAGGGGGCACCTTGGTAGAAGGTTATTAAACATATTTGGAAATCAATTCCTGTCCTGTGGCAGTATTTAGGATTTTGAACAATATGTAAAATAAAAGCATAAGTTAAATAAGTAATTAAAATTACATACACCTAGAGAAGTGCATTTAAGAGGTGCAGTTTGAGTGGCCACATTTCTGTAGCTTTTCACGACCTTTAGATTCCTTTGCTTTAAATTCAGTAAGAATCTTGAGGAATGGAGGTAAGGAAGGGTAGTGAAGATTAGATATTAGTTTTAGCGGTTTATTCAATAAAGCTTCTTTTGGTGCCTGCCAAGTGAGAAAAGCCGGATATTTTCTGGTGCCAGAAACAGAGCTCCACACAGTAAATATTTTGTAAGTTTCTGTAGAACGAATGAGTGATTGAATGAACGAATGAAATGAATTTAGGAGGATGGTCTCTCTTAAGTTCCCGAATTTGACTCCTAGAGTATCAGAGCCAAATTTCCAATTTTGCTGAATAATTACTGTACTATGATAGAGGGTGAGAACAAAGAAAATGATTAAATAAAACAATGAGCCTTAACGAGTAGGTGAGATCCGACTTTGCGCCCAATTCTGTCCGTACTAGGCTTCCGTAGTCTTTCCGCCCCTAACTCGTTTACGCCGCCGCGCAGGTAGTGATGTCGCGAGATTTGGAGCTCGCGGGAAAACTTGTTTGTGAGTCCGGAGCGGAGGGCGAGCGCGCGGGAAGTTCGAGTGTCGGACCCCGGGAACTCGGGCCGGCATGAGCCTCTGGGTGGACAAATACCGGCCCTGCTCTTTGGGACAGCTGGACTATCACAAGGAGCAGGCGGCCCAGCTGCGCAACCTGGTGAGTCGGCGGGACGGGGCGGGGAGACCCGGAGGAGGGGAGGCCTTCGCTCTCCCGCTTCAGAAGGTGATGAATGCTGTGGAGAAAAGTAAAACTGGGACGAGGACACATTGTGGGGGCGGGGCCTGTGCTTGTAAACCAAGAAAGTCTCCCTGAGGACTGTCATCTGAGCCGAAGCTTGAAGGAAGTGGGAGAGCCCACAGTAGGGAGCTCCGGGGCGAGGAGTGGAGCGGGTAGAGGGAACAGCAGGTGCAGAATGCCTGAGGCAGGAGTGTGCACAGCCCGTCACTCGGGAGGCCAGTGCGGCTGGCTAACCGTGGGCCAGCGGGAAGAGGAGTAGGAAATGGGGCAGTATGGGGGTGGGAGGAAGTGCAGATACAGTAAATTTTAATAGAGTGAGATGGGAAGCCTTTGGAACGTTTTGAACAGAGAAGTGACATCATCTGACGTTTTAATAGACTTACTTAAAATGTCTTGGTGTCATTGCCCGCATTTACAGAAAGGAAGATATTGGGTTTATTAATTTCTAAGGTCATTTTTAATTCTAAACTATGTGGTATTAGGTTGTCCTTAAGTTTAATTCCTTAATGGAAGATTTTTCTTTTCCTGTCGCGATGCCTATTTTTATGTTGTAGCTGATAAAAGTATCTAATGGCAGTGCTTTGTGAAAAACAAACTGAAGTTTGTAGAGAGTGGAGATGGAAGAAGGGTCTTGAGTAGAAAAACCACTTATCTACTCTTTTTAAGGGCCTAAAGTACCACTTCCTGATGGAAGTGTTTTTGCTCAGCCCTCTGGGCTTCCAGTACCCATCTTTTTCAGAATTACAGGTACTATTTGTAAAGTTTTTTTTTTTAATGAGAAATTATAATAAAAGAACTCCATCCTTATATATGAAAGGCATTAGAAAAGTTGGTGGTGTTGTGAGAGTGAAGTGTTTTTTTAAACTCTCTTTTAAAATTATTGGTATTCCAATACTAATACTATACTAATTTTAAGTAAATCTATTAATTCAGTATTTTATTTATTTTTAGTATTTAAAATACTGTTTAAATAAATCTAAATAAATGTATCCCATGGTTAAGAAAATCAGAGTCAAAGCTGTTCTAAGAAAATGCAATTTATAAATGAATACAGCTTCATTTATAGGCAAATTGCATTTTCTTACAATAGCTTCGACTTTGATTTTCTTAACCATGGAAATATTTTGTATTCTATTGCCAGTTTTCTATTATATAGAATTTGGAATATTTGCACAAAAATTTAGTGTATTAGTCTTGTGTTAATAGATTTGGCTTTTCAAAAGTATTCACCTGTTTACCTTTGAATCTACAACCTAATAAAAGTGTGAAACATTTGCAGCATAACTTATTTTTGGTGAGATAGAAGTTTAAAAAAATGAAGGCTATATTTGTGGAGTACCTACTATTTTCCATGCGTTGTCTTAGGTAAATAGTTCCTTTCCTTGACACTTTTTTCTTTCAGTGCCAGAGATAGATGAGTTTACAGAGTATTAAAATTCACTGTAACAAGCACTCCTGTTAAGTTACTTATTTTCATTTTTTCTAAAACGGTTATTTATAAAACTTTTGCTCCACAAGATTTTATGCACCTGAAGCTAAGGTCTGTGTTCTTGTCATCTTTATAGCCTTCATAACACTGATCCCCAGACCTGACTGAGCATCACAATCACCTGGGAACGTTTTTTAAAAACAAACAATCTTGTTTTGAAATGCAGCACTGTCAGCGTCCTACTCCATTCCCTTGCTCTTAATTTATAAAATTACACAGGCCGACTTCCAACTCCCTGCATCTGCATTTCCTGAAGGCTTTCTCTTGCTGACACCTCTAAGCAGACTTGAAATGTCAGGGAATTAATGCCCTCTCTTTCTCTCCGTTCACTTTCCCAAGCCAGCAAAGGATTGATGAGAGGTAGTGTATCATACTCCAGCTTCTCCACCCTTGGGTGGTTTAATAGTGTGGTGTATTTTGCACTGGCTTCAAGAGTATCCACAGCAGGATCATGCCCCAGATGCCCAGAGTGGTATTTAAGTTAACAACACTGTTGTTGGCTGCCTTCCTTCCTTGCTTTCCTTCTCCCCTACAAAGTTTTCCTTTACCTTCCAAATAAAACCAGATGCACTCATTTCTTATCAAAGGGACTATTTGTAGAAGCCCAAACGACGACAGGCATCAGTCTCAGTTACTGAATCATAATCTTGTGGATGGGGTCCGGTAATTAGTCTTTTTATTAAAGGTTCTCTGGAAGATTCTGACAGTCGGCCAGGTTTGGGATTTCTTGCTTTCTAGCATATAGTGTTGTATCTTACATGTACTGTGCTAGATATATAAATTATATAACATTAATCCCAGGGGGATAATCAACATTTCAGAGTTAAAGATCTGTCTCTCTATATATACATACACACACACACACACACACACACACACACACACACACACACACCCATTTTTGAAGTTTCATAGGCAGAGACACAAAATATTTGATACTTGAAAAGTAGTTTACTTCCACACGTTGGGCAGTAGTTTGGGGAAAATGCCTTGTTCTTTTTTTTCCAGGTGCAGTGTGGTGACTTTCCTCATCTGTTAGTCTATGGACCATCAGGTGCTGGAAAAAAGACAAGAATTATGTGTATTCTACGTGAACTTTATGGTGTGGGAGTGGAAAAATTGAGAATTGAACATCAGACCATCACAGTAAGCCTTTCACTTTGAGGCCCTCCAAATATTTAGAGCAGGAATTTTCAGTCCTCATCATATAGGACCCTTTGCTGCCCAATGTGTGATTTAAGTAAGAATTTCACAGGTAATCCTGGTGTACAGGATTGAGAGTTGCTGATTTATAGACCTAAGTATTATAACCAGACAAAAGTTACATTACGTTAGAAAAGAAATATGAGCAACAGGAGACTTTGGGTAAGATGTAGGTGGTGGGATTCATTTCAGATTCGAATTAGTGTCAGTTGGAACTAGAACCCAAGTTTCTAAAGTTCATTGTTCTGAGAGCAGTAGTGGGTATGGAAAGGGAATGATTTGGAGAAAAATTTTAAACGTGGAGTCCGGTGACTCGGTAAAGATTGGGCAGCTGACTGCCTGGGAGAGGAGACATGAGGCTCTGGGATGTTCAGAGTTCCCATGATCTTGCCCTGGCTGTGTTTTGTAGCCTCATGCTATGCAATGCATTTTCATACTCTTTCCTTACTGACAGTGTTTAAGATCTAGCTGAAATGTATCCTCTTGGAAGTGCCCCCCAACCCCGTTATAATTAATGTTTCCTCCTACAACCCATAGTTTATACTTTTTAGAGCATTACTTTGTTTTGCCTTGATCATAGTTATTTATACATCTTGACTCTGACAAGATTGTATTTCTTTTGAAGTTATATAGGGTAAATTTTATATTTTTGTAAGTTATACTTGACATGTGGCATTATATTAGTTTCAGGTATACTGCATAGTGATTTGATATTTTTATGCATTATGAAATAATCACCACAATAAGTCCAGTTGCCATCATTTTCTTGTTCTTCATAGCCTCTGGTATAGTGTCTTGCACATATTAGGCACTGAAAAAATGTAAACTGAGTGACTGGACAGTAGGTTGTGCTATTAATAGAATCTTTAGGAGGATAAATGGACTGTAGGCTAATGTGGATTAGCTTGTGTTTAGACACATTGAATTTGAGATGTTGGTAGTACATCCTGGTGGAAATTCTTTAAAATATGCAGGGACAAATTTAATAAGAAAGGTAGTAAGAAAACCTTATACATAATCTTATAAAAGGACAAAAAACAAGAGCTGATCAAATGGAAAGATGCATCATGTTCTCAGTGGTATTTAAAAGTGTCTGTTCTCCCCATGTTCAGTATAAATTTTAGTGAAATTCCAATTAAAATGCAATTTATTTTTTTAATTGTGTGAAGTGATCTTAAAGTACATTTCTGAGATTAGCTAAAATAATTATGAAAAAGAAGATTTGTGAAGTGGGACATGTGTTTATTAAACCATACTGTAAGCCTACTATAATCAAAACAATATTGCTATGGCATTGGGATAGAGGATTACATCAGTGGAACTGAATAGAGAGCCCAGAAATATGACAGCCCAAGATCTATTTCACATCAGTAGGAAGAGGATTGGTCAGCAAAATGTGCTAGCATAACTAGTTACCAACCCGTAAGAAAATAAAGTTGAATCCCTATTACACATAATTTATAAATCCAGATCAATTAAAGGCTGAAATGGTAAAATAAAACTAAATTTCTTAGAATAGAACTTCTTAGACAGTATGAACAGTGTGTGAGTCAGGAGCACCTTTTAATAAAAAATATGGGAGTTGTAGAAGAAAATATATACTTAGGTATATATGAATTTTAAAAGTTTGTATGACAAGATAATATACATAAGATCAATAGAAAAATGAAGGATTATAAAAAATATTTGAAAGGAATGTATTATATAAAAGATTTTACAAAGTGACAATGGAAAAACAACCTGGTAGAAAACTGAATAAAAAATGGCCACAGGAGAGAAAGATAAACACTCAGTAAACCTATGTGAAGATGTTTGACCTTTGTGGTAGTTGAGGAAAAGCAGTGAGAGTCTAATAAACACATACATACGTATAAAAATTTAGAGAACACATCATCTTCAATCCAGCAGATCTTTTATTGGGAATCTGTTACATAGACGTGAAAGCAGTGCATGAGACATATGCACAAGGATGTTAATTATGGAATTGTTTGAGATTGTAAAAAGCAAGAAGCAAAATGCCCATCTGCATGACTGGCTTTGGGACATCCATGTTATGGTTGATATGCAACTATAACAGCCTATACCACTTGTCTGAGAAGGTTGTCTAGATGTGTTGTTAAGGAAAAGCAAAACACAGAGAAATATATATGATTGCCTCTTTTTAACAGACTCTATGTAGTAATGTATTAGTATGTGTTTATTTTTGTGTGTTATCATGGAAAAGGCTGTGAAAGGACATGGGCAGATTGTTTACAACGATGATCTGATAACAGGGAATGGTTTGGAGATTACTGGAGGTAAAGGAGAAAAGCGGTCACACTAAAAACAGAATGGGTGATATGACCCAATGTACATAAAAACATGTATGTTTACATGCACCTTAAGAAAGGAATGGGGTTAATGAATTTGAAGCATTAGTGGTGGTCATCTAAAGTTTTCTTTCTTTAGTAAACATAAATTGTTTACATAATTAAAAAGAATGAAATACAGAAAAGAGGAGAAATAGTCATGAATAAACATTAAAAAAAAAACTTTCTTTGTCCACAGACTCCATCTAAAAAGAAAATTGAAATTAGCACTATTGCAAGCAATTACCACCTTGAAGTTAATCCCAGGTAAGTTGCTACTACATAGAAATAAGCAATTTTAGAATAGTGATGTTCAGACTTTTTTTAAAGAGTAGAATGTTTTTTTGAAATAAAATTATGTATGGAAACAGTAGATAAAAGTGAAGCTGCCCTGTGTGAGACGGGGAGCCTAGAACCTTCCTTCTTTCCCTTCTCTTTGATACCCCCCCAAGTCAAATAATTTTAATTAAGTTTTCTTGCTCTACAGAGCTCTGTGCTTTACACAAAGTATTTTGCATAGTCAGTAAGTTTTTGTTGAATTATATTGACTCATTCAGAACTGGTGAGCAAAGTGTGTCTAAAAAGTTTGTAAATGCCTGAAAAAATATTTCAGAAAGTGAATTTGGGTTCCCATTTTCTTTGTTTCAGTTTTTTGATTAGAGGGTATTGTAGTCCATCAGCCACTGTCTGTATTCTCTATCATGAGATAATGACTAGGATCTTGTTGGGAGGCACATTGAAAACTCATGCCACAGCAGTTACGTTCTGCTTAAGTAAATGATGTAGAAATGATTGTATTGGGTGTAAAGTTGGCTAAGCCTTCAGGGTTCTATGGGGTCTGATATGTTCTTGAAGGAGAACAGAATCAAGGACATCTTCAGGCAAAGGCAACTTTATGGGCAGTGGCACAGCAGTGAGATCGAGCATCCCTTTCTAGACTGAATGGAATAAGAGGAAGAGAGTTTTAAGTTAACGTGTATTCAGTAACAGGCACTGTGTGGGAAGCTTTACATGGATTATTTAGTCCTCAGAACAACCCTAACAGACTGATATTATTTTTCCTAGGTATGTCAAAGAAAAAATTAAGGTTGGTGGGAAAGGGTCTGATCGTAAAAGTAGAGAGTGGTAATTCCATGGACAAAAGCGAATTATTTTAGATTCTGGACAAGGAAATGATTATGAAAGAAACACTGTACGTATATTGATCTAATAATATTGAATTGAGACAGACAATGGCTGTTTGGAAAAATAAACTAAAGCTGACTTCTATGCTCTCTTTTTCTCTTTGAGAGTTCCTCTGTAGCAAGAATAGTCAGGGTAAGCTGTTTGTTTTTCAGGTGTTTTAAATTGACATTCAGCCTGAATTAACCAGGTGACTTATGTTGGTTTGTGAGGTGCAGGACTTAAGTGCTAAAGCAATGATATTGGTATAAATGACAGGTAATGCCTGTAAGTCAGCAGCTTACAGAGTACTGATTTGTGTGCTAAACTTAATTTGCTTATCCCATCCCCTTGTGAAGACCCTGAATCAACTCTGCTTGTGCTGAGAGGGACTTGTCTAGGCTTGTTCTCTCTCAGACCTTTACTATTTTGGGGATGGGGAAGAGGAACAGAGATTAAATTTCTGTTCCAAGGAGTTATTTTTATATTTTAAATTAGCTCTGACTAGGTATGAATTATAGTGGGTACAGAAGTGTCAAAGTATTTGATAAGCTATTGATAGCTATTGCTCTTCTGTTTTTTTTTTTGAGGTACGCGGGCCCTCTCACTGTTGTGGCCTCTCCCGTTGCAGAGCACAGGCTCCTGACGCGCAGGCTCAGTGGCCATGGCTCACTTTTTTTTTTTTTTGAGTCTTTTCCCTTTTTTTCTTGATGAGTCTGGCTAATGGTTTATCAATTTTGTTTATCTTCTCAGTAAACTTAATATAAGAACATGCTTGGTGTTTTCAGTGATATTAACCAAATTGTAGTTGAGTATTGGAATATTTTTAGTATTTAATGACCCTAAAACACTTCACTTTTAAAGTTTTGTGAATGTAATAGGTGTTACTCAGTTTGATTAAAATTTTGATCACTTAAGATCTTCAACACTTTTCGTACAATACCAGATTAAGAATAAGGGCATAATACTTTCTAAATATTTACACACATATTTACCACTATTTTTGTTTTGTATAGTGATGCTGGAAATAGTGACCGGGTAGTAATTCAGGAGATGTTGAAAACAGTGGCACAATCACAGCAACTTGAAACAAACTCTCAAAAAGATTTTAAAGGTATGTGATAAAAAGATTTCTTATGAGGCAGACACTTAAATTACAAGCAGTGGGTATAAGAGAAAAATGTAGTGGGGAATGTAAATTCCACCCATTTAGCAAATATTTATTAACCTCTTGTTCTGTGCCAAGTACTATGCTACCTTTTTTTTTCTTTAAATATGTAAAAGTGAACAAGAGAGACATGATCTCTGCTCCTGGGAATTTATAGTTTAATGGAATTGAATTTTGGCAGAAAGAGAACTATTTGTGCCACCCATGTGTTACTTTAGAACTAGATAAGTAATGAAAAAATACTTAATTTAAAATAAGAAATTGCATGATTTAAAAATAATGGTTCTTAGAACCAAAGTGACATGTTCATTATCAGATGTTTAGCTAAACAAAAGAAAATTCATACCAGCTATAATCCCCGTAATAGTTACTCTTAACATTTGCAGTATTATTTATGTGCATATATATGCGTATATTTTTACAGGAGATTTTTTGATAAATATGCCAATATTTAATGCTTTTGATATATTTTGCCAAATTCTTCATGTGAAAGAGGGTATAGCTCTGTGCTACCACCAGCAGTGTTTAGGAATGCCCATTTCTCTCTAACATTTATCAACACTGGATAATTATTTTTAATCCTTGTCAGTTTGAGTGGAGAAAATAAATTGTTTGTACTTTGTTTTTTTTTTAGTGAATGTGATGATTTTATCTTTTGTTCATTGCTTATTTTACTGTTTTGTAAATCACCTGTGCATATTCCAGTGTATTTCTTATCTTTCCTCCTCAGTCTGTACTTCAAAATAAATTAAAAAAATTTTTTTCAAATGCTCTCCTGTATCCATTAATGTAGTTTTATGATTTTTCTTCTTAGTGTTTAGTATTATATTACTGGATCTTTTAATGAAACTGCTTTGCATTTCTGGAGTAAATGTCGCTTGGTTGGGATGTGTTAATTTTTAAAATATGCTGCTGTTTTCTCACCTAGCAATGATTTATTTTTTTATCATTTTATTTGGTGCTATCCTTGTCAGATACTGGGATCAATCTCCTTGTCTTTATTTTTCCTGTTCTGTTCAATTTCGGTTCTAATTCCAGAACGTCTCCAAATTGTGAAGTGTTATCTTGGAAGGAATATTCATTTTATTATTTTCAGTCCAATGTTCTCTCAAACCTTATTGCATCAAGGTTCCTTAGCTCTTAGCCATGAATTGAGCCCTCTGAGTGCTGTTCTTAAATTGGCCCATGATATTTCCAGTGTGCTTTTGTGGGTGATTTGGGGTTCTCCTGTCCTAAAGGCTGTCAAAAACCTGGTGGATCCCAGCCACTTCCTCCCACACATAGTTTCTTGTTCTCACTTGCTCATATTTAGGGTTCTTAGGGACAACTTGTCACCTAGTTTTGATATAAATGTTGTCTTGGGTCTTGGAATCTTTACTTGTTCTGTCTGTTTTTATGGGAGAGATTCAAATGCTACAAATGCTACCACTGTCATCTTCTAGAAATAATTTAATACAATGAAAAATACAACAGTTGGATTCAGTCCCTACATACTATTCCTGAAGCACTTTAAGGCCAATCCTTGGTTATGACCAGATGGAATCTTATTATACAAGTAACCAGATGTCTTTATGCCTTATTTGCTACATCTCTTGTGCCAGTGTTTTCCAAAGTGTATTCCTTAATGCTAAGATGTTCTACAGAAATGTGCTCCTGAGATAAATTATTTTGGGTAAATGCAGCACAGTATATCCTTGTCGTGGTGATTTCTACTGTGTATAAATATAATAAAGACTGCAATAAATTCTACAACAAAATAACCTCTTTAACTTTGTTTAGCCTAGTGTTTCTTAGGCTTGTTTGATCTTAGAATGTTTTAAAATAAAAATAAAAGAAATTATTCTCGCCATACCTATAAGTTTTGCATGTCTTCTCCAAAGGGGAAAGTAGTATATTAGGCTTATTATTTAGGATTTCACTCTGAATAATGAGGAGGAAGAGGAAGAGAAATACTTAAGTTAAAGTTTGTTTTGTTTTTCCTTGACTCAGTCGTGTTATTGACAGAAGTTGACAAACTCACTAAAGATGCTCAGCATGCCTTGCGCAGAACCATGGAAAAGTATATGTCCACCTGCAGGTTGATCTTGTGTTGCAATTCTACATCAAAAGTGATACCACCTATTCGTAGTAGGTGCCTTGCAGTTCGTGTGCCTGCTCCCAGCATTGAAGATGTAAGTCAAGTTAAACTTTTCAGAAAATAATTTCACTTCAGATTCCATGCATACTGTGTATACATCCCTGTCATGTTTGTTTTTGTGAAAACATAGTGAGCTATATCAGTAATTTAGGAATAGCTATGGCCTGGATGCTAACTATTAGTATACGTATAAACATATATATATATATATAAAATACCAGATACCAATATATAGAAAATGTTCTTTCCATTAAATCATCTTTTACTTTAAACAAGTAATTATTGTGGATTTTACTAAAGTAGGTAAGGGCTAGTTATTTAATGGCTTCTGCTTTAACCTGATTTAACTGGCTTATGGAGGAGGCGTGAGTATTCAGGAAATAGATTTTGCAAGAAGATGATTTGGGAATACCTAGTCCCCTGTTAGGGGACCAAAGTTAGTCTGAAACATAATACATATTTTTGTTTTCTTTATCATTCTTAGTAGTTGTCAGTAGAAATACCAGTTTCTCACAGGCAGTTTTCTGCTGTTTAATAGATTTGGGACAATTTTATGCAAAGTGGGGATAATATGTGACATTGTATTAGTTTCAGAGTAGTTAAAGTAACTTTATTATAAGTTTCACTTGTAAAAATTTTGGGGGTGATAGAGTTAAAAGTGTCTATAAAGCAGCAGCACTGCCAGGTTACACCACTCCCATGGGCACCATTCAAGTCTTAGTTCCTGAATCGTGTGCACTTCAGCTTGTACGGCTCTACTTGGCAGCCTTGTGAGCAGTATCTTTGCCCCCAGCATGAGACCCTTTGTCTCCAACTCCGTGTTGCCTTGAGGAGGCAGGCTGTCAGGCTTGGAGCTGGGACCAGAACTTCCTCCAGTTGCACATCTAGCTGCTGCCTCTTCCTGACAGCTAGGCTAGACCCCTAGCTTCCTGCTGAAGGAGCAGTGGGTTAGGGTAGGGTAGTGACCAAAAAAAAGGTTGGGGAGGGTCTATAAAGATATTAACAGAAATTGTCTCAGTATGCTCTTTGACAGATTGCCCATTTTTGTTAATTATTTTGTTTGTAGATTTGCCATGTGTTATCTACTGTGTGCAAGAAGGAAGGTCTAAATCTTCCTTCACAACTGGCTCGTAGACTTGCAGAGAAGTCCTGCAGAAATCTCAGAAAAGCCCTGCTTATGTGTGAAGCCTGCAGAGTGCAACAGTGAGTGAAAGGGGGAAGTTACCATGGGAAACATTTTGGGACATAAGCCCACTTTCATTTAATTTATTGTGTTCTCTTTTTGTCATGTAGATATCCTTTTACTGCAGATCAAGAAATCCCTGAAACAGATTGGGAGGTGTATCTGAGGGAGACTGCCAATGCTATTGTCAGTCAGCAGACTCCACAGAGGTAACCGCTGTAAAAGATCACCATGAAAGTTTGGTCACTGAGATAGTACAGATATTCTAAGTTTTAGGTTAGCTGTTTTATGCTAATACCATGACATTTAGAATTATAATTAAATCTGTAATAGTACACTTATAAAGAAAAGGTAGGATTTAATTTTAGAAATTTAGTGGTTCAGAATAGTTAGCATATGATATCATGGCTATTGGCATGTAAATGTGGAACTTCTACATAAATTAAAACAAATTTTGGAAGTTTTAGGTTTTTCCCAGAATCTTGGATGATTTAATATTAATACATAGCATGATGTATCTAGCTTTCTAATATTGAAAATCACAATATATAACTTTGTATTGATGTGTCATAGAAAGACCCTAGACTGTGGGTCAGACTTCTAGTTCTTCTACTGATTTTTAGCTAAGTGTCCTTGAGCAGGTAACTTCATCTTAGAGCTTCAGCTTTTTCATTTGTATAATGAAGATGCTATTATTTTTACTCTGCCAAGGATACTTGTACCTTTGTTATAAGAGCAGAAGAGATTGTGTGATAATGGATTGAGAACTAGAAGACCCGGTGCTCATGTGTGATGATAGGCTTTGTTAAGAATAATATTGTGTATATGCCATCAGTATTTAGGAAGTGTTCTGTGCATATTTGCTGTACGGTTGTTTCTGTTTACTTCCTAGGTCTCTTCTTCAGTAGTAGACCATGCTGAGAGTATTCAGCCACTGCTTGTTTGATTTATCATGACAGCTTTGATTGAGAAGGGCAGTCTGCTCTTCTCCAAATCAAGAGTGACAGTCTTAAGGCCCACTCACTACCTTTGGAACGTCTAGTGAAGGTCCCTTAGGCTCACTGAGACACAGTTTGCTACTATTTTTTGCCTGTCAGAACTGAGAAACCATCTTTGGACTTTAGAGAGGGTTGATTCTTTTAGGAAACAGACTAGACTGAATGCAACCACTGAAATGTAAGCTTCCCTGGTTTACGTGAAAATAATCATGAGAGGATTATGCCATATTTCTCTTCTTGTATGGTATATCTGATGAATTCTTATTTTTTATAAGAAATTCTTCAAAGGAAATGATAATATGTACTCTTGGGCTACCATATAGATTAGAGGAGGTGAATAGTCATAGATAATGGGTATGTGGTATTTGCATTGAATTCCTATTAATTCATTTATTTTAGTTGAAGAAATTAATAGTTTTCGAAAAGTGCAAACGTTTTAGGTAGGTTCTTCAGAAAAGAAACCTTGACTTTAGGAAAAAATGTGCATTCCGTTCTCTAAAATATTGTCAAGCAGTGAAGAAATTTCAGGCTTTAAAGAAATAAAATTCAAACAAAGCGCGTCTTGGGAGCCTTTTACGTTCATAAAATATTTCCACGCTAAAGATGACTTTCTTGTTTTTGTTCTGATTTTAATGAAGACAAATTGGCGGTAGTAGTTGAACTTTCCTGCTCTTAAGAGATTTAGGTACAGATGTTGCAGTATTTGACTATTTGACTATTATTAGATGTATTTTTAAGACTTCAGTTGATTATTACTTTACTTAATTATTCTAGCTGCTGTGGCCCTTTCCTCCAGTTTCCAAACAGGTTTTGACAGCTCATAAATGAACTTGTTCGAGTGCTGCTGTTGCCTATTTAGACTAACAGTTTTGGGAGTTGATGCCATTATGCTGTATAAAAAGAAATTTCTCTTAATTTCAGAAAACCTTGGAGCTGTGCAGAAATACTGGGATGGCTTGTGTCATTCTGAACATTGGTCCACACAGTACCAAATGGCTCCTTCTGATTTTTGACCCCTTAGTCTTGATTCTTGTTTGACCTATCTTAGAAAATTCATAATTTTCTAATTTGAATAGCAGCTAATATTTAGTGAGCAATTATTATATCATTTTAGAAAAATGAACTGAAATTAGGATAAGCTTCCATAGGTGTATCTTAAGTATGATAAGCCATTTAAGAAAATGTCTGTATTGGGATGTTTAATTCGTAAACTAAGACAGTACAGAGGAAAAATTACCTCCTATTTTTATCACAGAATATTGTTTTGTTTTTTATAGGCTCCTTGAAGTTCGTGGGAGACTCTATGAGCTTCTGACTCATTGTATTCCTCCTGAAATAATAATGAAGGTATCCTGATTTCAAATTTTGAACTGTTTTTAACCATAAAACTTGGACTTTGTGTGATCTCAGGGCTTTTGCTGCACTAAGATACATTGTCACCTCTTTCTGTCCAGCTCATTAGTTCAACAGATATTTATTGAGCTTCTGGTGCTTCAGGCACCTTTAGGGGTGTGTTGAAGGGGACGGGTGGGCCTGCCTTCAGAGAAGTTGCATTTTTGTGGGGTGAAATGGGAAACGAAGCAAGAGGATTTCAGAATGTTCCAGGTGCCACAAAGGAAGTAACAAGGTGAAATGGTAACAATGGAGGGCAGGGTTATGGAAGGTCAGTGATGGCTTCTGTGAGAAAGGTATGTTTAAACTAAAACTTGAAGGATTAAAAGAAGGGAACCATGTAAGTAGCTGGGGAACAAGTATTGCAGACAGCAAGGCCCGGTGCACTTGAGTAATGAGGTTAAAGAAGGAGGCAGAGGGACATTGTAAGACACAGTTTTAGGGCTGATCTAAACCTAATCAACTCCCCAGCTGGATGGATAGGCTGACTGTTAGATTTTAGGGAACACACTGTTTTTTTGCTTGTTTGTATTTATTAAAATTACCTGGTAATCCTTACATGAAAAAATTCAAATGATACCAAATATACAAAGAAAAAAGTGAAGCTCCACACTCTGTTTACATAAGACCTCTTTTCTAGTCACATAGAAATAAGCCCATATATGTGTGTGTTTCACAAAACTTCAGTGTCCTGCGCTGTTTGTTTTTTTTCCCCTTCTTTTTTAAAATTCAGCAGTGTAGTATGGTTGCTGTTTCATGACAGTACAGATTTACCTTATTCTTTTTAGTGGATGGGTGGGATTTCATTATATGACTATACCACAGCTTTTGGATATGACCCCTGTTGGTGAAGCTTTAGGTTGTCTACAGATTATTATAATTAATAATGCTGCGGTAAGCATCTTTGTACTTATATCTTTGCACCCTTGTACATTTAAATATTTAGAGTTGGAATATGAAAGATAACACATTTTTACATTATAGAATGGTATGTACTTCTGGATGAAGTCTGCTGGTCCATCAGAAATAAAAAAAGAACATATATAACTTAAGTTTTACTTCCTTTTTGAATGAGAGAAATAAAGCATTTTCAGCTAATATTTTTAAAAATGATTTCTTTTTTAATTACTAGTTATCTTTCTTTAGGGCCTTCTCTCAGAACTTTTACATAATTGTGATGGACAGCTGAAAGGGGAAGTGGCCCAGATGGCAGCTTACTATGAACATCGTCTACAGCTGGGTAGCAAAGCCATTTATCACTTGGAAGCATTTGTGGCCAAATTTATGGCACTTTATAAGAAGTTCATGGAGGATGGATTGGAAGGCATGATATTCTGACATCTATCAGTAATTCTTCCTAATATTTCTCAGTATCAGCATTTACGTTAAATTTATATTGGAAGAGCTACAGGTAAAATAAACTAACTTTACTTAATTATGTCTTATTTGTGGTTTTTGTAATAATTCCTCTGAATTATTAATCATTATTCTGTAGGTTAAATAATTGCTCCTGTACTATTGAAGTGTATTGAAAGGATACAACTAGAAACTTTAGAGTCTAGGAACATGATTTTAATTTACTTTAAAAATTTGTTTTCCAAGTATGCAGTATTGATCCTCTCATTTCTGTATACTCTCTCACCTGCTGGAGGAAATTTACACATAAGAAAGCAGGGATTGTTTTCTATCCTTCAGATGACCATTTTTGGCCACAGGTACATAAATTTTTGCTTGGTAAGTCATTATGTTTAATCATTTTTTCCCTCAACCAAGAATTATATTTTTGCAGGAAATATAGGAATTAATTTTGAAACGTAATAGCATGGGTGTGGAGAAAATTGCACATACCATTTCTGTTGAAACTGTAGAATTCCAGCTTTTATTTTCAGTGATTCAGATAAGCATGTTTTCATTAAGTACTTGAAGACTCCTGAAGAATATGCATCACATAGTTCTGAAGCAAAGGTATATTACTGTTGAAATTACTCTTTGATTTGAACAAGTATACTGTTGTATTATTGGTCCTGTCCTTTGGAGCATTTTTTAATTCAGGAATTTGGTTCATGGAACAAAGGGTTTGCTTGACAGAAGTTTATGACAGGCTCTGTATAAGAATATTAGCAAGACCTGCTCTTTTAGCAGTTGGTGATAAACAATCAGGAAGTGTTTGATTGACAAAGACACAACTACACACACACTGAAAAACCTAAACCTGGGAAACTGTTCAGGTTAAGATAAATGATTGTTGCCTTTTTTATGGGGTGGCGGGGGGGGGGGGGTACTAGTCAGGTCCCAACTGGAAGTCTCAGTCCTGGGGACTACATGTTAGGAGGGATATTGACATTCTAACAGAGAACTAGGAAAGTGAGGTTTGGAAGAGCTAAGACTGCTTTAATTTGGAAAAAAGGGAAGTTAAAAAATATGTATGTTAGGAGGGATATTGACATTCTAACAGAACTAGGAAAGTGAGGTTTGGAAGAGCTACGACTGCTTTAATTTGGAAAAAAGGGAAGTTAAAAAATATGTTAACTCTTCCAGTGTTTAAAATGATGCACTTGGAAGTATGAGTGGTCTTATAAATTATGTTTCCTTAAAGCAGTGCTTCTCAGAGTGGAATCCCTGGCATCACCAGCATCACCTGGGAACTCAGAAATGCAAACTCTCAGGTCTCATTCCAAGTCTACTGAATCAAACGATCGGGATAAGCCTCAGCAGTCTTTGTGTTGTACCACCCCTCCAAGTGATTCTGATGCACGCCTCAGTTTGAGAACCACTGCTCTAGAGAGGGTAGACTTAGGATCAATGGATGTAGGTTGGAGAGAGGTATTTTAGTTCCCTATGAAGAAGAATTTTTTAACTGCAGCTATCTTAATGGTATGGGAGTCTTGAAAGCTCCTTAGAAACAGCAGGTGTTCAGGTGGAGAACTGATGAATAATGAACTGCTTACTACATGGTAGGCATTGCACTGGCTATGTGTACTATTTCATTATAACCTTACCACTCTGTGAGGTATTATCTCTGAGCTATGAATAAGAAACTTGAGATGTAGAGAAATGAAGTATAATTCATACAATAAAACATATCATTTTAAGTCTGCAGTTTGATTTTTGACGAAGGTATTCAGTGTAACCATCATCCCAATCAAGATACAGATTCCATCACCCTGAAAAGTTTCTTCCATATCCCTTTTGCAGTCAGCCCACCCCTACCCCAACTCAAGTGACCGTTGATCTGCTTCCTGTCATTATAGATTAGTTTTGCCTGTTCAAGAATTTAGAGTCAAATACTGTATGGTCTTTGGTTAAGGCTTCATTCTCTCAGAATTATAACTGACATTTGTCTATATTGTTGCATATTTCATTAATTTCTTTAATGTTCATTGATCAGTGTATGTTTATATATACTTTTACAACCCATTGACTTGTTTATGGACCTTTGGGTTTCCAGGATTTGTTTAGTATGAATAAAGTTGTTCTGAATATTTCTGGAAGTCATTTTGTGGACATATGTTTTCACTTCTCTTGAGTAAATACATAGGAATGGAATAATTAGACCTAAGATAGGTGTCAGTTTAACTTTTAAGAAGTCACCAGATTCTCAAAGTGTACCATTTTATATTCCTACCAGCATTGTATGGGCATTCTAGTTATCTCTATAAAATTGGTTTAATTGATTTTCTATATTGTCTGTTTTATATTTCATTGACTACCTTTTCTATCTTTATTAATCCCATCCTTCTTCTTTTGATGTAGTTTGATCTTATTTTTCCAGAGTCTTAAAATGGACGTTTAGGTAATTGACTTTAGACCATTCTCTTCTATCATTTAAAATTACAAATTTTACCCTGAATACTGATCTAACTTCCTCTTACAGATTTTGATATCTTGTGTTTTCATTTCCATTTAGTTCAAACTATTTTTCGTTTCACTTGAGATGTTTTTCTTTGACCAAATGATTACTTGGAAGTGTGTTGTTTAATTTCCAAATGATTGAAAATTTTCGGATATATTTTAAAGGCTTCTCTACCCTTGTTAATTTTCTGTCATTTACTAAGAGGAATATTGAAATCGCTAACTGTATTTATGGATTTGTCTAATTTAGTTCTTCTGGGTTTTCATGCATTTAGAAGCTCATTAGGTGCATAAAATTTTAGGATTGTTATGTCTTCCTGATGAATTGACCCCTTTATGAACGCTCCTCCTGATTTCTGGTAATATTCCTTACTCTGAATCTATTTTATCTTATATTAATATTACCACTCCAGCTTTCTTTTGATTAGAGTTTGTATGGTAGACATATTTCTTACAGCTAAGGTCTGCTAGCATTCTCTCAGTTTTGATTATCTGGAATGTACCTATTTTGTCTTCACTCACAGAATTCTAGGTTCATTTAAAATTTTTATTATTTTTTCCCCTAGCACTTCAAATATTTCCTTCTGCTACCTTCTGATCTCTGTTATTTCTGATGAGAAGTTAGCCAGTAACATATGATTGTTCACTTTTACATGATACATTACTTCTTGATGTTTTCAGTATTTTTTTTCTTTGCCTTTTAGCAAGGTGACTATGATGTAACTAGTTGTAGTTCTTTGTGTTTATCTTACTTGGGCTTTGTTTAGTTCCTTGGATCAGATTATTATGAGTAGTATTAGTATTAATTTAGGGAATTTTTTTGCCATTATTTATTCAAACCTTTTTTTCTGACCTTTTTTTCTCATCTACTTTGAGACTCCTTTTACTTATATCCTGGAATACTTGACATTGGCCCACAGGTGGCTGATTCTCTGTTCATTTTTCTTTAGTCTTTTTTCTCTTGAGTTCTTTGGCTTGGATAATTTTATTGATAAATCTTCAAACTCGCTGAATCCTTCTGCCATTTCATATCTGGTATCTCATCTAATTTATTTTTCACTTTAGTGTTCGTACATTTTAACTCTAGAATTTCCATTTTGTTCTATATAGTTTCAATGTTTCTATTACAATTTCCTATTTTCTGTCTCCTTGTCAGCATGTTTTCCTTTAATTCTTTGAACATGTTTATAATAGTTGCTTTGAAGTCTTTCCTGAACCCAGCATCTGGTCCCACTCAGTCAGTTTATATTGACTGCTTTTTCCCTTGTGTATCATTATACTTCTTCCCCCTCCCCTACACCAATGTGTGGTAATTTTGTGGCTGAAAACTTTACTTTTAGATAATATATTTTAGTAACTTTGGATTCTCTTTTGGTTTTCTGATATTTTTTAATGTTTTTTGTTTGTTTCCTAGCTTACCTATACTTAAACTCTGTAATTTATCTTCCTTGCATTGTGCTGCCACTGATGTTTCTACTCAGTTGTTTTTATTTTAGCCTGGCTTCATCTTTCTGTCTGCATAGTTTAGTGATCAACCCAATGATTTGGGTGGAGTGTGAACTCAGACATCTTCAAGTTGAGACTTTAAGTCTGCTGAGCTGTATGTGGGTTGAGGAAAACATTCAAGGTTGCAACCAGTTCTCAGTACCCCTTGGTTTTCATTTTTCCACTTAAGCGGTCGGTCAGGTATGTGTGAATTAAGAGCTTGTCTTAGCCACTGTGTGGCTCTTTCATTTCCAGGATCTCTCAGTTCACTATCTGATTGATTTCTTAGTGGCCATGAACTGGACTTGCAACCTTGGTTTAGCAAAGCTATGGGTTTTCCTTGTTCCCAACTGTTAATTCAGTCTAATACTCTGGCTGCAACTAGCCTTAAACTTATAAAGGTACAGTTTTTACTGAAGAAGTGGTAGGTACAAGGTAATAATACCAAGTATACAAAGTCATGGAGTTGCTACCATTTTTGTCCAAATCTAGTTTTTCAACAATAAACATTTTTCAAATTTGTTGTCTGATTTTGATCAATTTTCAGTGTCATGATTGGTTATTTTTTGACAATTTTGTCTGTTTTTATACTTTTCTGTGGAGGGAAATTACTCAATCTCCTCCTGTTTCAATTAATAGAAGTAGCCCTCCACTGACTCATTTCTTCATTGCTTTTTTTGTATATGCAAATTTCAATCTGATGTAATTTTCCTTTACTCTGAAACAGGTTTAGCTTTTCTTGTGGGGCAGATCTTCTGGTGAATTCTCCCAGGTTTTTGTTTTTGTTTTTTGGGGGAGGGGGGTTTGGCCTAAAATGGCTTTATTTTGCATTCTTTTTTGAAAAGCATTTTTAATGGGTATAAAATTGTAGTTTGACAGTTGTTTTTCTTTCTGTATCTTAAAAATACAGTTTTGTGTTTCAGTTTGCATTGTTTCTGAGGAGACATCTGCATTCTAATTTTTTTCCTATGCGTTTTTTGTTTTATTTTACTTCCTATGGCTCCTTGTAAGATTTACAACTTCTCTTTATGACCAATTCCAGCAGTTTAAGGTGTGTCTTGGCGTGATTTTTCTTTGTGTTCATACTGCTTTATACTGGCTTTACATTTGTTTCAGTTCTTGGATTTGTGGATTTGTGTTTTTTATCAAATTTAGGAAAATTTAGCCATTTTCTTCATTATTTTTCTGCCCTCTCCTCTGAGACTCTAGTTACATCTCTGACTTCATGATAGTGCCCGTAAATCACAGGGTTTCTATCTTTTTTCCAGACTTTTTCTCACCGTCCTTCAGTTTGAATAGTTTCTGTTGCCTTTAAGTTCACTACTCTCTTGCACAGTCTAAAGCACAGTCTAAAGCACAGTCTAACTTGCTTTAAAGATCATCCAGTGAAACCGTCTTTCTTTAAACAGTGTTGAACTTTGTTTTCACAGGCAATTATTTGATTAGCAGCTTGATCCTTTTCATGCTTATTTTTAACCTTTTTTAGGGTGTGCCTAGCGTAGTCTTTATCCCTAGTTGAGCTTTACAGCTGTGGTTTGATCTTTCTAGTGTTGATCGAATGCCCCAGAGATCATTGAAGAGCTACATCCTGGGTCACCAGAACTCACTGTCTTCCAGCCCTGTGTGAGCTCTGGTAATTATTCAGCTTAGTTTCTAGTAGGTCTTTCCCCAGTAGTTTTTTTGTTGTTGTTTGCTTGTTTTTTTCCTCTCTGCCTGGCTTTGTGGAGTCATACTGAATGTATATGCAGCTTAGTAATCAGCCAAGGATGCAAGGCAACCCTTATGCAGATTTCTGTTGCACTTTTTCTGTATAATTCTCCTCTTTCCAGATCTCTGCATGCATGTTCAGCCACCCCAGTCTCTGAATTTTGCTCTTTTCTCCTCAACTCATTGTTGTCACAGTTGTCTGCCTGGGTTTGCCCTTCCTACCCTGTAGGCTGGAAAGTGCCTCTAGGCAGAAATCAGGGGTGATTTTAGAGTTTACTTCCTTGGTTTCTTTTCTTTAACGTAGCAAAGCATTGCACTGCCTGCTCCAGTTTCTGATGTAGCATCCCTTTTATGTTTTGTCTCGTTTTCTAGTTGTTTACAATGGAGGGCAAGTCCAGTATCAGTTACTCTTTTTTAACTGGCAGTAAAAGTCTTGATGTCAGGATTTTAAATGAAAGCCCTGATTCCTGGGTGTGAATCACTATCTTACGTAGTTCTTTAAAAATGTATGATTTACATTTTTCCCCCCAGCTTTATTGAGATATAATTGATATATAACATTGTGTAAGTTTAAAGTGTACAATGTGTTGATAGATACACTTACATATTGCAAAATGATTACCACCATAGCATTAGCAATACCTCCCATCACATCACATCATTACAATTTTATTTTTGTGGTGAGAGCACTTAAGATCTACTCTTGTAACTACTTTCTGGTATGTAATACAGTATTATTAATTATAATCAACATGCTGTATATTAGATCCCCAGAACTTACTCATCCTAAAATTGGTAGCTTGTACTCTTTGACCAGTGTATCCCCATTTCCCCATTGACCAGCCCCTGTTAACCACCATTCTATTATCTGTTTCTATGAGTTCGGCTATTTTAGATTCCACATATAGGTGGTGATATCATGCGGTATGTTTCTTTCTCTGTGTTAATTATTTCACTCAGCATAATGCCCTCAAGGTCCATCCACGTTGTCACAGATGGCACTGTTTTCATCTTTTTCATGGCTGAATAATAATTATGTGTGTGTGTTTGTGTATGTATGTATATCACATCTTTATTTGTCCATAGATGAACACTTAGGTTGTTTCCATATCTTGACTGTTGTGAATAATGCTGCAATGAACATGAAAGTACAGATACAGGCTTCATATCTTGTTTTCATTTACTTTGGATAAATACCCAGAAGTGGTGTTACTGGATCATATGGTAATTCTATTTTTAATTATTTGAAGAATCTCCATTTACATTTAGAGTAATTATTGACAGGTAAGGACTTATTAATGATATCTTATTAATGGTTTTTTGGCTGTTTTGTAAGTCCCTTGCTTTTTTCTTCTGCTGCTGCTTCTTTGTGAATTGATGGTTTTCTGTAGGGGTATGTTTGATTCCCTTTTCTTTATCTTTTGTGAGTCTACTATAGAT